ATCCAGAGAAAAGTACTATATTATGTCATGTTGGATGTTCCAAAATGCAGTTATCTTTTTTTTTTCTTCTTCTTCTTCTCTTTTTAATTTCTTCAAAAGCTTCAGACATTCATCCTAATTAAAAACCACCATTTTATTATGTACATCTATCCGAGGTATTCTTTTATGTTGGCAATGAACGTTGGACAACATGCTTTTATAAGCCTTGATGATGCAAGTTGTAACCAAAATAATATCAGACTTGTCAAAAAAAAATCCCAATTGGCCTTAGATCTCATCGCCTTCCCTGACGGCACTCCTGAAGGGCACTGTGCCAGCAAACTCTCAGGCGGTCTCCATAGCAAAACCACAGGTGTGTGATATTGTTGATTGATTTGTAAGGTGTGGTCAATTAATATTAGTTTTTTTTTTCTGTTAGACATAGTTAATATATGGCTTCATGATTTTGTGAGTAACACTATAACTAATCTGATTTCACTGTAAAAAAAAAAAAGTTTTCATCAGAATTATTAGTGTTTTTACTGTAAATGTAACTAAATTTAGTCCAACCCCTCCACCTTGTTTCACAGGTATTTGTGGAATTTATAACCCAGGGTCTAGAGTATTTTGATTGGGATGCATGACTTTCATTTACCTCTGTTGGTGTTTGTTATTTCCATGCTTTATCATTATATTGAATTATATATATATATATATATATATATATATATATATATATATATATATATATATATATATATATATATATATATATATATATATATATATACATACACACACACTTTTTTATGTAGTATTGGTAATTTTGTTATGAAATCAATTATTATTTCATTCCCTAATATATGCATGTTTTTTTTTTCTGGAATGGCTGCATAAGTATATAAAATTGAAGAATAGAATTAATGGTATTCAGTAAGTACGTAGTTTTGCATATTGTAACTTTTTTTGTATAGAATGTACAGATATTAATATTTCAACGCTTAGCAAGCCATAATATTTTGCAGCACCTTTTATTAACTGTTTTACATGTTAATTGGTAATGATTATAATGTATGAAATATGTATACACATGAGAGACAAAGAGAAAGACTTTCTAGTATGTAATTTATATGTACATGAGAGACATTGTTTTTGAATGATTAAATGAGATTGAGTGTTTGTGTTAACCCATTCGGAGCGGATGGTAAGAAAACACCTTATGCCCACTGTAATATAAGTTCATCTCTCGTCTTTACACATAGATGGCACTACAATGCTTAGTCACCAAGGAGTCAGTTAGTAGTCCTACTTATCTCACCCGTTTATCCTTTTCTTTGATGTTTAGAAAGTTTCATATGTATTATTTATGTATTTCATATGTATTCATATGTATTGTCTTTAACGTTATGGATATTTTGATAACAATCTAATAATCATAATATCAGTAAGAATAATAACAGTATCAATATTAATAGTAACTCAAAGAAAAACACATTTTCCCGTAAATTCAAGGAATGGCAAAATCAGGTGCTGTGGTCCTACTGCTAGACACCTTGGTGTCTGAGCACACATGGAAACATCTGTATGCAACAAAATTCTCAAAAAACTCCAGGGGACAGTAAATAAATCCATAGTCATTTGCTTAAAAAATGCTCATATGCTCTTCGGGTATAATGAAAATGCTACATTTTAAGATAGGTAGATCATAAAAATTAGATAAACTTATGAAAAAAATCAAGAATTACTTTTGAAATGCAATTCATACTGAATTGCTTACCACTACTCACTGGTATTTTAATTTCAACCATTGGATGTTGATGTTGAATTGCTGACCATATTTATGGTATTTTCTTTTTGGATCCTGAAGAAAGTGGAATAACATGGTTGCTACTATAATTAATATTTACATTTAAGAGTGGATGGCTTTTATTATAATTTTTAGAAGAGTGAAAAATTATATACATCTTATTTCTCATGTGAATTTTACAATGTGAAATGTTAATGAAGATTATAATTACCTGATACATAGATCTTTATCATTATTTATCATCATCATCTTTTTCATTACTATTATAGTATCATCATAGACATTATGATGATATCTTAAAGAAATTGACACTTGTAATTCATTACTTTTTGTATCAAAGGGGACCATAATTATATGCCATTGGCAACTGTATATTGTCTTGGGTACAAAGAGTGAAAGGAAAAAAATTGTGTTTGTTTATTAGAGAATGTGATTATAAAGAGAAAGATGTACAACACAAATGCCTGCAGTTTTGTCAGTTTTATTCTGTAGATATACAAGGCATGGTATTGAAACTTGGATCTTTTCACCAGGTTGTGAGCCTAGTTGGTGGTGTAAGTGACTCGACAGGACATACTAAGACTGTGGCCAATACTGAGTCCTCTTCCTCCTCCACTGGCAGCATGTCTGGTCTGGAAGCATTACTTGCAGGTGAGCTATCATTTTGCAATGACACTTGGTTATAAAGTGTGTATTTTCCTGTTATACCCTTCTTCTTCTTCTTCTTCTTCTTCTATTTCTTCTTCTTGTGTCTGTCTGTCTGTCTGTGTGTGCATATGTTTATGCATGCGCGCGTGTTTCCCCACTCGTGAGATGTTTTCACATTTTTCAACAGGAACACCATCAGCTGATAATCCTGCCCCACAGAGAGGTGGTCCATCACTTCTGGAACGTCTCTCTGCTCAAACTTCTGGTTCTATCACTGCTCCTGCTTCAGTAAGTAAGGTACAGTATCCTTTTTGACCGCATGTTTCTGTGCTATTCTTATGCTCTATCACTGATTTTATAAAAGTTGTGAGGAAGTAAATGATCAGGGGATATAATGGACTTATAAGCATTATATCATAATTTGATCTCTATGATTATATATTGCTTAAATATATTATTAACTTGTTCAGTATATTTATTAGGATTAATGTTGGATTACATTAACAATACAGGTAAAGGTAATTTAAAGGCAGTATACAAGTATCCAATAGTTGAAATCAAATAAACTTGGCAGCTTTTTTGTATTTTGTAGGAATGAGTCCCGATTCAAACAAAGAAAAGCATTTACCCTGCCAAGTATTTACATATTGACTATGATTTTTCATTTAGGACAGTGGCATTGTGAAGGTTGGCAGTAATGTAGGGGCACCATCAAGTCAGACTAATGTTGGGAGTTCTGCAGCAGCAGCAGTTCTGCGAAGTGACAGTGGCAGTGGTGGTCCTCCTCCCAACATCAATATTGCCAGTCTTAACCTTCCTGGTGGGTCTTCATGTTAACTGCAGATTTGATTGTATGAAACAAAGGTAAATTTTATAATGGAAGTTTGGAACTTATGTTTTGCATTTAGAAACTTCTTTTCTTGTTGTTTAACAGGCCTCAATGTAGCAGGACTGCAGAGTCTCACAGCAAACTTAGGTGGACTACAAAATGTACAAGTCTCAATCCCAGGCCTTGCTGTTCCAATTTCACTCTCTTTAAATGTTCCTGTCACAAGTTCTACTGGTGTGATATTATCATCACCACCACCTTCAAGTGTATGTATTTTTTAAGGATAAGTACTATTATACCCTTCTTCTTCTTCTTCTTCTTCTTCTTCTTCTTCTTCTTCTTCTTCTTCTTCTTCTTCTTCTTCTTCTTCTTCTTCTTCTTCTTCTTCTTCTTCTTCTTCTTCTTCTTCTTCTTCTTCTTCTTCTTCTTCTTCTTCTTCTTCTTCTTCTTCTTCTTCTTCTTCTTCTTCTTCTTCTTCTTCTTCTTCTTCTTCTTCTTCTTCTTCTTCTTCTTCTTCTTCTTCTTCTTCTTCTTCTTCTTCTTCTTCTTCTTCTTCTTCTTCTTCTTCTTCTTCTTCTTCTTCTTCTTCTTCTTCTTCTTCTTCTTCTTCTTCTTCTTCTTCTTCTTCTTCTTCTTCTTCTTCTTCTTCTTCTTCTTCTTCTTCTTCTTCTTCTTCTTCTTCTTCTTCTTCTTCTTCTTCTTCTTCTTCTTCTTCTTCTTCTTCTTCTTCTTCTTCTTCTTCTTCTTCTTCTTCTTCTTCTTCTTCTTCTTCTTCTTCTTCTTCTTCTTCTTCTTCTTCTTCTTCTTCTTCTTCTTCTTCTTCTTCTTCTTCTTCTTCTTCTTCTTCTTCTTCTTCTTCTTCTTCTTCTTCTTCTTCTTCTTCTTCTTCTTCTTCTTCTTCTTCTTCTTCTTCTTCTTCTTCTTCTTCTTCTTCTTCTTCTTCTTCTTCTTCTTCTTCTTCTTCTTCTTCTTCTTCTTCTTCTTCTTCTTCTTCTTCTTCTTCTTCTTCTTCTTCTTCTTCTTCTTCTTCTTCTTCTTCTTCTTCTTCTTCTTCTTCTTCTTCTTCTTCTTCTTCTTCTTCTTCTTCTTCTTCTTCTTCTTCTTCTTCTTCTTCTTCTTCTTCTTCTTCTTCTTCTTCTTCTTCTTCTTCTTCTTCTTCTTCTTCTTCTTCTTCTTCTTCTTCTTCTTCTTCTTCTTCTTCTTCTTCTTCTTCTTCTTCTTCTTCTTCTTCTTCTTCTTCTTCTTCTTCTTCTTCTTCTTCTTCTTCTTCTTCTTCTTCTTCTTCTTCTTCTTCTTCTTCTTCTTCTTCTTCTTCTTCTTCTTCTTCTTCTTCTTCTTCTTCTTCTTCTTCTTCTTCTTCTTCTTCTTCTTCTTCTTCTTCTTCTTCTTCTTCTTCTTCTTCTTCTTCTTCTTCTTCTTCTTCTTCTTCTTCTTCTTCTTCTTCTTCTTCTTCTTCTTCTTCTTCTTCTTCTTCTTCTTCTTCTTCTTCTTCTTCTTCTTCTTCTTCTTCTTCTTCTTCTTCTTCTTCTTCTTCTTCTTCTTCTTCTTCTTCTTCTTCTTCTTCTTCTTCTTCTTCTTCTTCTTCTTCTTCTTCTTCTTCTTCTTCTTCTTCTTCTTCTTCTTCTTCTTCTTCTTCTTCTTCTTCTTCTTCTTCTTCTTCTTCTTCTTCTTCTTCTTCTTCTTCTTCTTCTTCTTCTTCTTCTTCTTCTTCTTCTTCTTCTTCTTCTTCTTCTTCTTCTTCTTCTTCTTCTTCTTCTTCTTCTTCTTCTTCTTCTTCTTCTTCTTCTTCTTCTTCTTCTTCTTCTTCTTCTTCTTCTTCTTCTTCTTCTTCTTCTTCTTCTTCTTCTTCTTCTTCTTCTTCTTCTTCTTCTTCTTCTTCTTCTTCTTCTTCTTCTTCTTCTTCTTCTTCTTCTTCTTCTTCTTCTTCTTCTTCTTCTTCTTCTTCTTCTTCTTCTTCTTCTTCTTCTTCTTCTTCTTCTTCTTCTTCTTCTTCTTCTTCTTCTTCTTCTTCTTCTTCTTCTTCTTCTTCTTCTTCTTCTTCTTCTTCTTCTTCTTCTTCTTCTTCTTCTTCTTCTTCTTCTTCTTCTTCTTCTTCTTCTTCTTCTTCTTCTTCTTCTTCTTCTTCTTCTTCTTCTTCTTCTTCTTCTTCTTCTTCTTCTTCTTCTTCTTCTTCTTCTTCTTCTTCTTCTTCTTCTTCTTCTTCTTCTTCTTCTTCTTCTTCTTCTTCTTCTTCTTCTTCTTCTTCTTCTTCTTCTTCTTCTTCTTCTTCTTCTTCTTCTTCTTCTTCTTCTTCTTCTTCTTCTTCTTCTTCTTCTTCTTCTTCTTCTTCTTCTTCTTCTTCTTCTTCTTCTTCTTCTTCTTCTTCTTCTTCTTCTTCTTCTTCTTCTTCTTCTTCTTCTTCTTCTTCTTCTTCTTCTTCTTCTTCTTCTTCTTCTTCTTCTTCTTCTTCTTCTTCTTCTTCTTCTTCTTCTTCTTCTTCTTCTTCTTCTTCTTCTTCTTCTTCTTCTTCTTCTTCTTCTTGATATTTATATTTCCAATATTCATGCTGGTTTATATATATACTGAAAAGGTCATTTTATCAGTTATTTACATTAATTTTTTACATCAGTTTAAGTAATATTATATTGTGCATTTCAGGTGGCAACAAAGGTTTCAGGCTCAACTGCAGTAACATCAGCTGCAACAGTAATGATTGCAAGCCAGCCAACTCTTCAGCAAGGGCAAGTTGTTCAACTACCAATAGGTAAATTATTTATTTGGAGTGTTTGTTTTTTTATGATATGCGTAAGTTTATATTAACTGGTTGACAGTTTGATGCAATAAAATGGCATAAGGATCTGTAAATAATCTAGTGACTCACAGGTCCAGTATCCCTACAGAATTACATAAAACTCAGTGAGAAGTTTCTTTGATGAGCAACTTCTTCAAACCAATGCTCTAACTTTAAGTAGGTTACTCAGGAATGATCTGTTGTATGGCATACTGACAGGTTGGGAAGTAGGACAGACTTACTAAGTACTGTAAGACCTTATAATGCCACTGTGTCTTAGGGGCTAATCCTCAGACAACGGCTAGTGATAGGATGCCTGCTTCCCACAAATGAATAGGATTACAAAACCTAAATAGAAGGATACCTATATTATTACACTAGATAAGATAAATAGTTTCCAAAAATAACTTTCCTGCATAGAGATAAGGTCATTTGTTTCACTGGTCTGCCTATAACCCATTGCTGCCAGTAATATTTAATGTCTACTGTCGCTTCGTTCTGTGAAATGGGTTTACACATAGATGGCTTCACATGTGCTCAGCCACCAAGGAGTCAGTTACCAGGCTTAGATGACTCCACCCGAATTCTTCTTTCCTTTATTTTATTTATTATTATCTATAATTTTTTTTTATTATTTTGATTTTATTATTTTTTTAATGTTGTTATTATCAATGCTGTTTTTGTTATTATCAAGGCTGTTTTTGTTGGTGTTATTATTATTAATATTATAATTATTATAATGTTATTTAACAGTACTAATAGCAATATGAAACAAAGAAAAATATTTCTGAAAATCATGAAAAAGGGTAACCAGATGAGATAGATAGGGCTAGTATTTGACTCCTTGGTGACTAAGCAATTATGGAGCTATTTATGTGTAAAGGCAATCAATAAACTCACCTCGCAGTAAGCATGGGATGTGTGTACAAGCCACCCTGTCATCTCTAGCAGCAATGGTTTTACAAAGATGATGATGGATAGTAATGAAAAGAAAAAGAAAAGAAAAGGAAAATACAACTGTTATAGATGGTATTAATTGGTGGACTGATATATGGATCTTCATAGATTTATCAAAAAACACAGTGAGTAGGGAATGAGAAAAATCATAATAAGGAAAGAAAGAGAAGGTTACTTTGGTTACAAAAACTTTTTTTATCAGGTGTGTGATGAACAGAAAAACATCCATCAGATTTTAATTTGCACATTTTTATGGTGTTTTGAAATGTAGATTTATATGTAGGTACTAGGCAGACAGGTATGTAGATGTATTATAAGTATTTATATTTTTCATTGATATAAATGTTTTTTTATTCAGTTTTATATATACTTTGTAAATGTTTAGCAGTGGAAACCGTTTATCTTGATTTCTAATGTGAGCCTCTTTTTTTATATGAAGGCCAGTTGAGTTCTTCTCAGTTGGCAGCACAGTTAACTAAGTCAACCACGCAGCAGGGTGGGTCTTCTTCA